ACATCGTATTTACACAAGATGTTAAACCAGCAAGCAGCTTCTACAACATGACACTTCACAGGTTAGGTCGAAAAAGTACCTAAAAGATTTCTCTTTATGACTAAATCCTCAACTTAATCTGTTTTAGTTGAAGAGAGTCTTGACCAGGCTGTGGCTGTAGACAATTTTGTCTTTCTCACAGGTATTAAGCATACTATGAAGGGTTTTTTTTTTTTTAAAGTTACCAATTTGATTTTAAAAATCATGACTATCAAGAATGGAATATAATTATTACTCCATTTAAAAGGTAACAACTCTTTATATTTAAGATCACAAAGTTGGCAAAACCGATACTTCAATAACAGAAGGTGATAATTTGCATTTCAAAATTCGTCTATCTTGCTTTTCCCTCAATTAGACCAAAACATGTTGATTCACAGGTTTGTGTGTGTGTTTGTTTCTTTTTTAAACTTATTTATAGAGCAGAATAATGGCCCCCCTGCTAGGCTGGCATTTGCTCAAGTTTCTGTCCGTGTAAATTGAATCTGTTACTGGAATTTTCCCCCCTTCAGAATACCAAGGCACATTAACCAAGAGATAGAGAGATACATTGCTGATACTATCAGCCACCAGGCAGGTGGATAATGTGAGGGATTTTTTGTTAGTTTTCATGGGTTTTTTTGGACAAATATGTGATAAGAGTTCTCAGGGGGCATGGAGAGCAAAGGGCTGTTTAAACAGAAGTGAATCATTCTCATCTGATCTGCTAATAACTTTGTATTCAGACATCAGCTGCTTAGCACACTTTACAACATTCAGAAAACAAAATTACTATAAAGAGGAGGAAAGTTAAAGAAAAAGACACACAAACCTCACATCAGTCACCTTAACCATATTAACACAGCAGAAATTCTCAGTTACAAGCGCTTAATTTCTTCTTTAAAAGCAAATAGGTTATTCTTGGCCAAAACCCCCACAGTTTTACTTGAAGTGGTGTTGAGTTTATAGGGGGTGATTTATAATCCATCGTTTCCCTTGTGTGTTAGAGAAACAACATTTGACTTATCATAGGTGAACAGCAAAGATTTAGTTTGGCCATTAATCAAAGTATAGCACAGGCGCTACTTTTAAGCATCTGCAGATAGCTTTGTTGTTGCAGTAGTTGGTTCAGCATGAGCTTTTTTTTATTGAGTAGAACTATGCAGGAGTAAAGAGACTTACCCAGCTTTACCAACAGATTCAACAGCACTATAACACACCACGACTCTGAGCTTGCAAGTACAATTCTTGATATGCAAATCATTACAAATAAGCCGCATATTCCATCTCTATTTCTTACGTGAAGCTGGCAAATTAGAGACAGCAAGTGCAACAGCAAAATCCATTAATGGTACAATGCCACCTGCCGTCAATAGTGGAGAAGTGCCACTTCTTGCAACAGATTTAGCGCTGCTTTTAATTTATGCACGATATAAAATGACAATTGCTATTTCATACAAAATTAATTACATTGCTAGCAGGGAATGGTATGCAGCTTTTAAAACTCTCTTCCCTCATCTTTTTGACACTTCTCCATTTATAATGTTTGCATTTATTCTACTATTTTACATATACACTGCATCATCTCTTTTCTACATACGCAGTCACATCGCCTCTCCACTTTTCGTAGGATAACAAGAGCTGAGCAAGTCCTTGCTATTCACCATGGCAAGGATCTGATCACTGTTTCTGTACCAATACTACCCTGTTTTGCTTTAATACAAGGTTACAACCTGGGGTACTGAAAGTCTCAAATACAAAATCCTAGATCCTGCAAGCAAGCTCCACGTAGTTGGACCTCTATTCTCCCCTGGGTCTGAAAAGCTTCAACATTAATACATTATTATCCCTAGCCCCTCCAGGAATTAGATTCCGATATATAAATTGTAGAATTTAGACTCCATGTTTTCCTTCAACCAATAAAGCAAATTTTAATACGTCCTCAGGCACTTCACTGTTAAGCACTTTGTAACTTGTACTGTAAAAAAGTAACACCTGAAACCTTACCGATTAAAAAGATAAAATTGTTTCAAATACATTTTTACATCTTTCACATAACTCTGCAATACAATTTCCTACCTATTTTAAATTGAAGATATCCTGCAATCTGTTTAAATTTCACATTCATCCTCTCCTTTTCCTGCCTCCAAAATTTGCTCCTCAAAAACCAATGCAGAAAAAGAACTGCATCCCAAGACTCCTCATCTGTTCTCAGTCTCCAACACGACACCCTAGAAGACAGCGTTCTGATAAAGACATCTTCCCTTTCTTGCATACCTTTAATGAGTGCATTTAAATAACAAAACGTTGAAATCACGTAACATATAGTTATCACATCCAAATCCTATTCTATCCCAAACTCTGATGAAAACACACACCAAGCTAAACACATGGAGACAAAATTTTACAAGCCAAGTTTCACTGCATCCTTCAGTTAGGAGAGAAAAGGAGAGGGAGGGCCGAGTACCCAAAGATAGGGCAACAGAGCACACAATACTGGAAACACCAGGAAAATTCAAAACAAGATAAAGCTCAATTTGAGTCACTTTATTTAGTCACTGCGTTGTATTATGATAAGAAATCATAAGACCTGATGAAATTTTGTGAAGATCACTTGTTCACCTCTACAAAATTGCAGCCCTTCCTCCAGCAGGAAAAAAGCAAGCTGTGAGAAACATTTAGGATCAGTTTTAAAAAGCAACTTTAAAAGAATGAAAAAAAACCCGAACTTGCCAATTTCTCTTAGTGTACTGAACTGAAGCACACGTATAATTTCAAAATCCTTATTCCAAGAAGCAACTTGAGGAGCAATGCTATCATGGTAAAGGGGAGACATGGGTTCCAGGGACATAGTACACTCCTTAAAATGAAAAATGATCATCCAAATAAGGGGTTTTTTGCCTGTAACATCAGAGCCTAAAGAAAGCCCACTAACATGATTATTTTTTTAATACTAATCAAAAGTTCTAGAGCAAGATTTACCAGCAGCAGTAGCCATAAGAAAGCTGCTTTGGACTCAGCTATACACCATTATTGAAGGTACAGGTATTAAATCATTGCTTAGAATAGAATGGCACTTGACTCCAAAATATATTTTGTACTGCTAAGTTATACCAAGTATTACTCTCCTACGCAAAAATTAGCATGAAATAGCTACACTAAAATAAGCATACGCTTTGCAGAGATAACATTAAGATCAAGAAATATGAAAGGTAAGAATCATAGAGTATCAATTCAGCCACCTTGCATATATCTAATATTTGCATTTGAAAATCTTCATCTTGTAGCTCGCCAGTTACAGACACACAAAGCAAACTGCAGCTTGGGGTAGGGCAGAGAGGAGAGGGCAGCCTAACCGAGAAACGCCCGGATGGATACCACACCTGTGCTGTGAGGTGGAAATCATGATGGTGCGGAAAACTCTTGCATTTGGGGACTTCTAAATATTATTTCAACCGACCCCTAAACACTTAACTACTGCAGGAGTTGGCTGGTTGGGGCTTAGGGGGCAAAAAAAAGCCTCTCTTTGGATCCTCATTAAAATACAGAAAAAGTAAGCTTTGACTTTCACAGCTCATTAATGATGACAGTGGGAAAAGGCTGCACTTCCATCTTTGCTACATCAACTAGGGAGCACTTTGTACGAGGCTGGGTTAGGGAGGCAGGAAAACGCCTCCTTCTAACAGGACGTCACGCACGTTGGCAACCAGGACATGTTTCTATTAAACAACCACAAGAATTGCTGGGATTCCCCCACCTTCTTGTTCTTGAATTAAAGTGGGGTGAGGGTAGAATGAAGGTGGTGGGTTTGCTTTGATAGGTAAAAAGAATTCTTTTCTGTAATACCTACTCTTTCGACTTGCACCTGGATAGAAAAGATTTTATTTACTATTTATCTCAAGAGGCTAGCACTCAAATTTTGTTGAGATCCTACCACCTTTATTCACAGAGAGCAGTTCCTTACTGTATTTCAGTTGCAGGACTAAGTCACTGAATAAACACCTGATGCCAAACTAAGTTCAGAACTTCCATTGCTGATAAGCTTTATTCTAAATTTTTCTGAGCACATTTACAGACTCTGAGCTTGAGGACTACCTGCATACCAAGTTGCCATGCCTAGCCAG